GGGCCTGTTGATTGACTCCAAAAACAATAATGCATTTTGTTTGATCAGAAAAGGGATTAAAGAGCACTGGAAAAAAAAATGCCATGAAGGGAGCTGGTCACAGAAAATATCTTTTTTTTTTTTTTAAATTTTTTTTTCAACGTTTTTTTTTTTATTTATTTTTGGGACAGAGAGAAACAGAGCATGAACGGGGGAGGGGCAGAGAGAGAGGGAGACACAGCATCGGAAACAGGCTCCAGGCTCCGAGCCATCAGCCCAGAGCCTGACGTGGGGCTCGAACTCACGGACCGCGAGATCGTGACCTGGCTGAAGTCGGACGCTTAACCGACTGCGCCACCCAGGCGCCCCAGAAAATATCTTAGTCATATGGATATTCTGAAGGAGTTTCAAAGTTGGAAAAAGTGTGAGAAGAAGAAAATTGAATTATTGGGTGTGACATGGACAAGGAAAATTAATAATGAAATTAATAATAGGGGCCTGAAGTGTTCAGACGTTTTTGCTATATTTCAGTTGGCAAAAAAGTAAATCAAACAACTACAGATTATGAAGTATTTCTACAGGTCCTGCAAGTGAACAGATAAGAACTGAGATATGATGTATTTTAGAGTAAAACACTGAGCAAAAATTAGAAACCATTACTGGCCTACTTTTTAACCTATACCTTCTTCCAATAAAGGCTTGGCCTTTACTCTAAAAAGGTTTACATTTCACAATTTTGTCAAAACTATAAGAGGATCGAATGCAATTTCCTATTGAAAAAAAGGGCTGTTTCAAATGCTAAATGATGAACACTTGATTTTCTCAAAAAATACTTCTATAAAATGAATTAAAAAATTTTTTTAACATTTATTCATTTTTGAGAGACAGAGAGAGAGCATGAGTAGGGGAGGGGCAGAGAGAGAGACACAGAATCCAAAGCCAGCTCCAGGCTCTGAGCTGTCAGCACAGAGCCTGACGCAGGGCTCAAACTCACGGACTGTGAGATCATGACCCGAGCTGAAGTCGGTGCTTAACCGACTGAGCCACCCAGGCACCCCTAAAATTAATTTTCAAAATTAATTTTGAGGTTATTTATTTCCAAATTCCCTGAAGTACTATCAAGATTTCTGGAATGTAACTGCTTATTTTACTGACTTATGAGTTCATATATTTACAGTAACTAACATTGACAGTGTGCCACATCAAATTTTTATTATCAGGAGAAAATTCAGTGAGTATTGGATTTTACAAATAGTGGAGTCGGGGGTGAGCAAAAAATAATGCAAGTGTTTCCTTATATCTTTAATCATAATTAATATATAAATTTAATATTTGTCTCCCTCAAATATATTTTAATAAAAAAGATCAAAATGAATTGCAATGTAGAAATGGTCCTTCATGAATAATCTTGAAAATATGCTACCAAAGCTTAATAATCTCATTAGCTCATTTTTTCCCCTTCATTTCCCTCTCTGCTGAATTTCTATACCATTTGTATAAATTGTCTAGAAGCATGAATATATGGCCATGCTATTTTTATATGCTCAATGGCTCCTTTCCTGTTTAGTAAAGAGAAAAATACCCTAGAAAGAGCATAAACCATGTACCTTACTAAAAAAAAAAAAAAACAACTATTTATGATTGTGACTAGCTGAGAGCATATGCCATATATTTTAAATGTTAAGGATGATGAAACTGTCACATAGGAGCATGCTTTGAAGAACTCATACAATGTTGAAGTTGTTTAAAGGTCCTATTCATTCTTTGTTACTGTTTTTGTAACACAATATCTTATACAACACCAAATGAAGTTTAGTCATTCCAAAGCTACAGCCTAAATTAGTTGAGTTTTAAACATTACTGCATCTGAGAAAAGGGGGAAAATATTTTTAATGTGTTTTATAAAGCTTATTTGAGGAAAAGGGTAGGGAGAAAAAAATAAGGTAACAATGTAATTACAACTTGAGGAAATGTTCATTTTATGCAACTATTCTTCCAAATCTTATTTTATGATAATATCTTAAATCAAATTTATATGAATATTATAGAAATTTCAGCAGTAAGCAGTTTGGGACTTGAAATATACAGATAATGACACTGGTTTTTTCTTCCAGTCTAATGTGTTCAAAAATACACAAATTATATCTTGGCTACTTGCTTGATCTTTTCAAATAGCTCTAAAATGCATCACCAACAGGTATGAAAACAAGTTATTCAACTTACATATGACAATCATTTAAAATCACAGCTAACAATGTTAGCCCAACTTCAAAGATGCTCATTTTAGACTGGAGAGATTTTTAAAGGGCTGGAGAGATCTTTAAAGGAGTAGTGTTCTGGAAAACTAATAACGCGTGTCAGAATATGTATATCACACGTTCTACTTGTTTCAGTGGGCCTAAACTGTAGATAAAGAAGAACTGCAAGATTATACTGGGAGAGTGGAGGCAAAGAAGATGGAGTATGCATCACTCACTACAAGCATCATGGGAATTTGTGAGAGGTAGTCTCTGAAGGTAATCAGACTCCCATGGAGCCAAGATAGCTTTTTGTTGAGTATTTCAGTATATATTCCAACTAAAGTAACCTTTTAGGCAAATTGAAAAAAAGGTTTTAATTACGCATTCTTGCTTCTTGCGTGTAGCCTGGCTGTTTATCCCATGACTGAAAAACAGAGAAGGCAGATGTTTGTCTCTGACAATCCAAAGGGGGTGGGGGTTGGTGGAAATCTAGGAAAGCAGAATTTCAATAGCAAATATGAAAAGAAGAAACAGAAAAGATGAGCCACTGCAGGACTTTGTCTTAGTCATGGCACCCATGGCACCTTAGCACAATGCACCGCACACAGGGGGGCAGTCGATAATTAATTCCACTTAATTCAATAGACTCTCAAGTGTACTGTGCTTTACAGTTATGAAGCACTTTCACATATTAGAAAAGAAAAAAACTAAATGAGGAATAAAGCGGCAAGCAAGGGAATAAAAAGAAAACAAATGTAAAAAGGAAAATCCGTAAGAATAAGCAAGAGGCTGAAAAGGTTCGTAAAAGGGGCAAAAAAATAGACTTTCTCTCTGTCGTTCTTAATCACTTCCAATGACCCTACCTTTCATTCTAAAGTACCCGGAGCTTAGAAAGTCAGTCGGCTAAGCAAGCCCTCAGAAGGGGCTCCTTCATCCTTGCAACGTGCATTTTTACAAATAGTAATCCCTTGGTCCTTGACTAGAGTTTGTGCCTAGGAATAACCACGAGCAAAGCTCTAACATCTCCCAAGTGTGGTCAAGAGTCTTTTATTTCAACCCATCCATCCCCGTCAGAAATCCCCAAAATTTAGGAATCTGGGTGATGAGGGGAGGAAGTGCTCATGGGGAGGGGGCAATCCTCTACAAGCCCCTTAACTCAGACAACAGAGGGAGATAGTGAGGCAGGAAAGCCCAGGGACTAAAGAAAAAGCCCACGTTTGCGACTAGGAGGGCGAGTGTCTACAACCGGTTATTAGAAATTGCCAGGGAAAAAAAGGGGTGAGCCCTCAAGATGGAAGAAATGGGGGCACTTGAATGCGTATCACTTTACACCTGGCGTCGAGGCCCCAATAAAAAAGCCATGAGGTCCAAAGCCTCAACGGGTCAGAAGAAGCGGCGGCAAAGGACGCTAGGGTTTGCGGGGGTGGGCAGGGGTTTGCGCAGGAGGGAGCCAACAGATACCACCGCGGATGCTGTCCCAGGGGAAAGCACGTTTTCCTCTCCCCCAAAGTAGCGCATCCGCCCAGCATCCTCGGCTCAACCTGAGGAAGCTACCGGGATCCAAACCCAGGCAGCCGCGTCCTGACCCCATTATATGGGCTTAAAAGTTGTAGGAAGAGTTGGCGCTGGAAAAGGCACCTGGCAGGGGCAGCCGCTGAGGGGGCGTTAGGTTTCCCGGGAACAAAGGGGCCCGGGAAGGAATGAGCAGAGGAGCTGGTCCCTGGGGGCTCCTCCCTGAGGGGAAGAGACAAGGGTGGCCACGTCCTCCCAGCCTATGGGCGACGTGGGGAGCGGGAAGCGGGCGAGATGCACCGGGATTCCGCGGCCCGCCTTCTAACCTCCTATCGGGTAGCGCCGGCAACCCCGGCGCTCTCCGCGCCCCTCTGTGGCTGGGGAGCCACCACTGAAGACAAAAGGAGATCGAGATCCCGAGCCCCCGCCTGCCCTGGAGGACCCCGCCGTCGCCTCGGCGCACCACAAATCAGCCAGTGGAAGCCCCGATGGCGTGCTCGGCCCTGATCTGCGCCCCATCCCTCTGGCGCTCCGGGACCACCGGCCCCAGAATCGCCTCGCCCTCCGTACAGCGGGCATTACCTTTCATCCAGTCCACTACTTGACTCGGAGACCATTTGCTCACGGGTTCCATGATCAGAGCCATGAGCACGGGGTCGCTACCGCGCGGGGCGCGGAGGTCAGACACAAAACGAACTCGGCAGCCCGAGCCGCCCTCAGGTGGGGTCCTTTGCTGGCCGTTGCCTCGCTGGGCGGGTGGCGAGAAGACGGCTTTTGTGTGTTGGGTCTCGCGGCTTCAATGTCTCTTAACAAACGGCCGACAGCGTGGTGGGAACGGCGACGGGGAGAGAAACGCGCCGGGGTCGCGGCTCAGTGCAGACTCTCTGCTTGGTCCCCGCAGAGACGACTGCTGCTATTGCTCCCCGACTCCGCTCGGGTCTCCGTCCTTCCTGGGCTTCAGTTCATGCCTTGCACCGCCGAGGGTCGAGACGGTGAGGAAAGGAGCCGCCGCCGCCGCCGCACGCCCGCAACCAACTTGCTCGCTCGCCTCGAGCGCGGGAGTGAAGCCCCGAGCACCACAAGCTGCCCGGCGGAAATGACGAGGGGCCTCCTGCCACCCAAAATATCTCTCCGCAGCCCTCGGGTGCGGGGCGCGCGCGCCACGAGCTCCCCGCCTGCTCGCTGCCGCGCGGTCCCGCCCCCGGGGTCGATGGCAGGCGCGCGAGGCGTGTGCGCGTGCGCGCTCCAGCACGAGGCCCGAGCCCGGGGTCTGTCAGTCAGGCAGGTGCGGGCGGCTAGCAGCTTCGTGTTCCCGCCCCGCGAGCCGCCCCGGGACAGAGGCGCGCTAGGAGCGCGTGCGCAGCGGTGTCCGCGCGAGTCCCAGCCCTGGGTCAGTCAGTCAGGTGCTGGCGGCTCGGAGGGGATTCTGAGCGGACGTGGCGGCTGCGGGACGGGCCGCCCACCAGTTGAACGCTGAAGGCTGAGGCGGCTGAGGAGGTACCTGTGGCCGCGCTGCCGAGGGGTGGGGGACACCGCCGAAGCGCGGGGGTTACAACGACAGCCCGGGCTTTCCTCGCTCTCGCCCTCCCCACTGCTGAGTGGGCTTCCGAGGTGATTCCCGAGCCTCGCGCACGCCTGCGGAGACCTAGGCGGGGAATGCTGCGGACGGGGACCGGCTCCGCCAGCCAGAAACGCAGCGATGACGAGGCAGGATGGCCGGTGCTGTCGGACCGCCCCTGGTGGTGCCCCGGGTCTGGGAAGTCAGGCGTGGAGCCTGGAACCTGCAACTGCTGGTCGTGGTGATACGGAGACAGGTTCGGCTCCACGTGCCTTTTGAAAGGGCGCTGTGTTGGGTTTTTGGCCAACTCCTTCAAAGCCGAGAGTGCTCAGTACCTATTTTAGAGGATGTCCTTTTGTTTTCAGATAATCTTATGTAAGAACCAAAGGGTAACACTGGTATTTAAATGAGTAACAAATTGTAAACATGATTCTTCGAAACTCATGTTCTTCAGAAATGTTTGGAGGCTACTATGAACCCTTAGTAAAAGACAGTTTGTCTAATGAGACCACTGTAAATGACAAATAATCCTGGAAAGTATAGATGCACACTCTCTACTACCATTATAGATGTTTTCTCTTTGTCATTCTTAAATAGCCCCATTGAGTAAAAGAGAAACTCATTTTATTTCTGTAACCATTTCAATAATGTCATTTGTTTTTGCCAGTTCCTGCAGTAACCCATTTTCTCTAGTTCTACTGCATGAGCTGCAGAACTGCCACTTTTCTCAACTGACTTGAGTTGCCATCCCTGCACACACACACACACACAAAGAACTCAAACCACAGTAGTTAAAATATTTTGATGTTTTCAGGCTAATGATATAAACCAAGTAAAACTTAAGATGGCCTGTCTGTACACTTGTTTATTTTTCTAATAATCCAAACTTAAAAGTATATGGGAAGAAATTTAGAAGATTATCTAGACAAGTCCAGGTTCAGAGATATAGCACCTTCCATTCACAATCCAGATAATAGCTTTGATTTACAATTTTTTTTAGCTAATCAGGTGTGCAAGATATTTTGGAGTGCTTATGTTCCAATTGAGTTTCAACATTGCATCAGTATTTTCTAGAAAAGATCATTTTTAGCATCAGTAATTTATGGAGTAGCTTTATGTTCAGAAGTGGAATGGATGCAAATCCATCATGAATCAGAGGTTACAGTCATAGGGAGACGTTAAAAGTAATTTCATCAAAGTAATACTGCTAATAATAACAACATTTTATTGAGCAGTGTGCTAAGTATGTTACAAACATTTTATCCTCAAAACAGCTCTGTTATTAGTCACATTTTACAGATGAGAAAATCTTGGCTATCACATTCACTTCCTATTCCCAGAGCTTATTACACATTGTTCAATACATGTTGAAAAAAAATGAATAAGGCTTAAAGAGGGTAAGTAATTTGTTTGAGGTCATGATACATGATTGTAATACCAAGTTAAGGTGATTCCAGAATATGAACGTTAAAAAATTTTTTTAAATGTTTATTTATTTTTGAGAGCGCGAGAGAGAAAACAAACAGGTGAGGGGCAGAGAGAGAGGGAGACAGGAATCCGAAGCAGGCTCTGTGCTGACAGCAGACTGTGAGATCATGACCTGAGCTGAAGTCAGACACTTAACTGAGTCACCCAGGCACCCCAGAATATGAGCTTTTAAAACTAGTAAGAACGTTTATGTATCATAAGACGAAACAGTACTTTGGAAGGAGAAGGTCCATTGAATGTTAACTGAATATGTCTCATCAGAAAGTTTACTACAAAGGAGTCTGTCAGTCACCATAAGTGTTCCTGACCAGTAACTGTGAGAATGTAGGAAGTGACCAAATTTGACTGAAACTCCAAACTGCATATTCTGATTGGGTATGCTTAACAAGCAACCAGCCTATATATTGAAAAGAAGTTTAGAGTGAGATATTGTTTGCATAATGAATGAAATATCAGTCGAAACAAATGCCAAAGACCAGGATGCAGTAAAATTTAAAAATACGCATTTCATGAAAAGATTGGTGCTGAAGAAGATTCCAGGGAGAGAGGATTTTAAGGAAGACCCTACATCAGAATTAAGTTGTACATATTCTCCTATTTATGTTACAGGAAGGAATTTATTTAGTCTAATTACCTGAAATAACTAAAATAATTCTAAGAACTAAGAATGAGCGAAAATGTTGGTATGGAGTTACACTATCTTACAGAGTTCACCAAGGCCTTACATGTTCTAAGTTCTCCTCCTCAAGACTTCTACAAAACATTCAAAAAATCAAAAGAATTGCCTTTGATTTTGACAATATAATAGGCATTAATTATTTCATTGAATTAGTTCAGAGCATAACTGGCTTTTCACTCAAATATCCTTAATTTGGAGAAGAAAAAAGATTAAGTCATCCTTGCTTTCACTCTTTTATTCCTAACTCCGAATGACTCAGCTAAATCTTTCCTTCACTTTTCTTTCTACAGCTTTTCAAATAAACTAGGCTTTATATTCTTTTGCCTATTATTTAAAATGTTGATACCTGGCCCCATGTTTGTAAGTATAATACAATGTGATTATGTACAAACTTTGGCAGCCTAACTTTGCCTTCTCTTAATGCACAACACAATCCCAAAGATTAGGGGAAAAGCTATGTTGTCATAAAATACACATCAAAACATAATGGTCCAAATTATATGATATCACATACACTTCAACAATGTAGATATAAAAGCCAAACTGATTCTTTGGAAACAAACTTGGATTCTTTTTGGAAGCAGGCAGAGGGTAAATATACTAAGTTAAATTAATTGGAGACATAAAACTTGTGAGATGTTTGCAACCATATCAAAACAAATCATTTAAAATAATCTTTTCATCCAGCTGTTCTAGTTTTGCCTTTTTATTCTTCTCCTTCTAGATGTCAATAAAAAATTAAAATCTCCTGACCAAAATATTTTCAGTTAAGATTTTATAGTATATATAATAAGTCTAAGTACTTCAGATGTGAAATTTACAAAGGTTCTCAGACTGGAATCTAAGTGCTTAATGGGTGTGACTCTTAGGGTTTGGGTCAGATAGGGAGGAAGTCTTCCAATGGAAGGATCTTCAAGCCTTTGTCTCTTTGCGGCTGTAGACAGAAGTAAATAATGTGAATGCTTCTTCTGGAACTGCAAGCTGAATATCTCTAACCTCCACACATTCCAACCTAGGTTATCTTATAATGGCCTTAATAATCATTTCCTATTTCTTTTATTAAGAAGCTAGCTCTGCATTAGACCTCAGACTTGTCATGCAGGACATATTTTAATGTTTTTAGTTATTTAACATTTAGAGAAAATGTCTTGTAGAGCCTTTTCTGGTGATTTTTCCGGTTTGCTTAGATTGTGTTTTTGCTATAGCTGTCTAATTTTTAGACTTCTTTTTTAATGAGTAATATTTTATCATAATTTTTTTCTCTTACATCTTTCATTTTTGAATGATGAGTGAGAAGTCACAACACAGAACAGCTATGAGGGTAGTCCATGTCCTAAAATACAGGAAAGGATAGGAGCCCTTTTTTTCCTCTTAGTTTTGCCCAGACCTTTACTATAATTTCAAAAGCAGGTGTTCTATGCTGGCACAAGTTGTATACCCTGATCAGAAAAATTAGCTAAGCACTTCTGGTAAGACTGGTAGTGATAAAACAAAATACAAGTTATTTTCAAGAACAGTATATGAAACTTGCTTTAGAGAAGGCTTAGCACAATTTTTGGAACAATGTTTTCATTTTCTTGCAGTGAAATTCAGCTATGAATAGCTAATAACTAGTCTTTGATATAACTGAGGAGATAACAATCTCCCCTGCCTCCAGAAGTCAGAGATTGAAGTAGGAAGAGACCTTGAAATGTAAATGGGGCTATAAACTTGATGCTCTGGTCCAAATCTCCCTTTAGATTATCAGGGAGAAGCACCCAGAGACTATAATTAAATTAGTAAAATTCTTTCTTTGCTGCTCTGCCACTAGGGTAAACTATTAAATCAAGCCTTGTCCTTTGCAGACCAAGATTCACAGCAGTCATCTCTAGGTAAGGAGAAAATGGCTTGAGTTCAGGTTATCTCAATAGGGTTTTTTAAGGATTCTTTCTAGGTATTCCCTGATATACTAATCATAGTCTAATAAAAATCCCAAAGCCCACCTAGATTAGGAAACCTAGGTTTTTTTTTTTTTTTTAAACACACGAAGCCCTAGCCCATCAGGGAAGTTTCTAGTGTACTTTGCAGCCATTAATTAAGAGCATATAAAAGTATTCAACAAAAATTGTTTAAACACTACCAGTGTGCTGGCCCAAGTTGTATCTTTTGATCAGAAAAATTAGTTTGATTTTGCGCATGCAAACATAACCCAATATACTCAGAGACTGGTAGGGGAACGGAAACATTCACAGTTAATTCAATAGGATAATGTGATAAGTGCAATGATAGATGTGCCCAGTACTATGTGCTGAGGAGTATGTAACTCCTTGGAAGAAGACTTTATAGAGGAGATAATGACTATTGTAAGTCTTAAAGGATAACAGCCAAACAATAATGCAGAAAAGACCTTATAGGCAGGACAGTATGAGCAAAGTTACAGAGCACTATGTAGAGATACCTGGAAGCCTAAATTTGAAAAGAGGTGACAGTAGATGGACTGGGAGAGGTAAAACACCAGCAGATCAGGGGAAGAAACTCAAACTAAAATATAACCTAAAAAGATAGAGCCATTTAAGAATTTTAAGCAATGAAGTGCTCGTATTTATATACTTATGTTTTATATTGACTGCCAGCTATGGAGAGCATAGATTTGAGAGGGACAATACTGAGGAGGGAGGTCAATGTGGAGGATGTGGCAATAGACCAGTGAATAGATGTCTTGGGTCAGCAATAGAATAGTAGAGGTGGGTATGGACAGAAAGGGATGGATTTAATAAATATTCAGAACTTGGTGATTGATTAGAAATGAGAGGTTAGGAAAAGAGCAGTATCAAGAATGATACCCAGGATTCTAGACTGGGTGACTGAATAAATTATTCCTTCTCTACTTAAAATAGAAGCAGCAGATTTGGGAGGCAGAAGTAATCTGAGAAATTAGTTTTGTATCGGACATTCTAAACATGAGATTCCTATGGACAGACAAGAAGGGATTTCCATTGGGCATTTTCTGCATTCACATATATGCATGTGAAACTCAGTTTGGGCTGAATATAAAGATTTGAGGGTCACTACTAAAACAAGAATATGAATGAGACAGGAAGAGTGTGAGATGCCCCTGGAGGAAGCCCATAGAAGAAAAATAAAATAAGTGAATTATAAGAAGAACCAAGAGAATTGAATGTCATGATAGCCCAGTGAGAAGAGAATTTCAGGTAGAAAGGCATGGAAAGCTGTGGGAAGTGCAAAAATGATGTTGTTCCAGTAAGAACTGAGAAAAATCTGATGGTTTTGTTAGTTTGGATATCCTTCATTGCCTTATTAAGATCTGCAAAAGAACTGGATGTCAAAATGGGGAGTGTTGGTATATAGGGCATTAACTTTTTCTTGAGTCAATTTTTCTTCTTTCTCATAGCCACCTATGTGTATATCTAATTCAGATGGCTCCACGATGAATGCTAATGATCCTTCAATTTATCACCACCACTTATATTTCTCTTTTCTGATGAAATTCCAGACACTAATGATGATCTCTACTCTTACCTGATTATATTTTTGCCACTTATAGAATGATAGCATCTTTTAAACTAGGCGAGGTTTGAATTCCTCTCCTCATCAGATTGTAGAACATGTTTGCCATGGCATTGTGGAGATCTTGCACATCTCTATATAGGCCATGTAGGCAAGACTCAACCTCAGTAAGACACATTTCTTGGCAAAATGCCCTGTGATCTTCCTTGGAACGTGGCAACAGAGTCTTGTGCAGAGCTATCCCAAGTCCATTTCTCATTTGCCACCCTGGTTCCAGTGAGGCATCAGCTTCAGGTATAAACAGTTCAGACTAAAGAACTGTTCAGCTATAGCCTAGAGTTGGCTCCTTGATGACAGAGCAATGCATCACTTGTATCCTCTGGCCCCTCTGGTTTGGTATCATCCTGAGACTAGGGACATTTGGAGTTGAGACATGCTGATCTTGCATTGCTGTCTGTGTAAATAATACATTTTCTAAATCCATGTGGGGTTGTTTTCACCTTACCCAGTGAATCTATGGAAGTGTGATAAGCCAGCCTAGCAGCTGCCACCATTCTGTTGCTCAGGTACTGCTTGACCATTTGGCACAGATCTGATCTAGGAAGTCCTTAAGTGCTCCCCAAAAAAGTGAGCTCTGCTGAACCTCTGTCTGAATAAAGTAGGGCAGTCCAGCCCTGGCCTAGTAAAGTAGCAGCAGCAGCAGCAGCAGCAGCAGCAGCAACTTGATTTCAAATTGGGAAAGACTGCATTTTCCCTAATTATTTGAGTTCCCTAAGTTAACCCCATAATTAATTTAAAAAACTCTATTACTGTTGCATGATAAAAACAAAACCATGATCTAAACACTTTCTTCTGAGGTTTGACATTATTTTTTTATAAAACACCTAGATTTTAGGGAATTCCTTCATATTCAAGATGTTAGGTCCATTTTCCTCTGAAAGGAGGAAAAAGGTCCATTTTCCTTATCAGTCTTATTTTCTAGTGGAAAATGTGAACTGGCAAAACTGGTGCTAGATAAGTTCATAGGTCCTGTTTATAAGGTAAATGGTACATCCCTATAGATCATATTTTTTAAATGCAAAAAGTACTTAAGGTAGGAGACAAATTGTTTAATCCTTGTCTAATAATTGACAGACTACAGAGGCATAAAGGTGGGGAGTGGGAAAGGAAGATTGCTTTCTTTCTCCATGGATTTTTGTCTTTGTTTTCCTGAAATGGGTCTTATTTACTTCTAGGAAAATTGGCATATTAAAGATGCTCATACCAAGTGGAACAAATGACTTATTTTCACTGACCAGGTACTGTATCCTGAAGGAGAGAGAGATGTAAGTTTGTCACTACTTTTGACATTTTCTTGATGTTGAAAGGAAATTTAGTGATTTTGGTGATCTAATTAATGAAAATATTTTCCTTAGTTTCTCTTCAGCACTGTTTGAAATACTCTGTAGCACAATGCAAGGTACCATTTATTGATTTTTCATCAAGAGCATCTACTCTGTATATATTTTGTGCTAAGCATTATTACAAAAATGAGTAAAATATGGTTGCTGTCCTCAAATCCTATAAACCAAAGCATATCAGTATATATTTTTGATAAATATAGTAAGCAAAATGACAGAGACATACAAAAGTATTTTGAGTATATTCCATAATATGGAAATATGAATTCATACCAAATGAATAAATAAGCATCTTTCTAGATTATAAGATGGCAATGTAATTTGTACATTGTACAATAGGCTAAGCTTTGTGGATAAACTAGTGAATATAATGGATATGGCTCATGACCCTAAAGAGTTACAACATAGTTGTAACATAGTGAGAAATATACAATATACAAGTAGACAAAATGCAAATTATGAAAGTACTGATATGAAATGTACAAGGTATAGTGATAGAGAATTATTGAGATGAGGAAGAGAGGAAACTCCTAAAGGTGATCAGAGAAGACTTTTCTGACTAGGTGACTTCTTAGGCACAGTTTTAAGATGTAATAATATAAGCAGGCAAAGATCAGAAATAGCTCATTCAAGGGGGAAGTAAAATCATGTGTGAAGTCCAGGTGGCAATAAAGAATTTGAGGTGATTGAAGAACAGAAAGGAAATTACTGTGGCTGAAACATAGTGAATGAGCAAAGGCATAAAGGAGGCTAGAGAAATAGGATGGGGTTGGAGAAAACAGGATCTTGTAAGTGTGTGGTAACTAGTTTGTAGTGCAGTAAAAAGACATTAAGACTTGTAAGCAGGTCAGAAACATGGTCTGATTTATATTTGTAAATTGAGGGGGACCTCTTTTTCCAGAAGGATCAAGTAGAGGTACCTTTCCCTATTATTCCCATTAAATACAAATAAAACCCCTGGACATTATGTATAAAACAAACATAAGACTTTGAAAGAAGTAAAAGGGGGATCATTACTGCCTGGCAAGGATGAGTGTTCCAGTTCCCACTTGGCCTTGTCTGATACCACCATGGCAGGGGCACTGGAGTGCTATGCTACATCCTAGCAAAGTAGAAGTGTAGGCTCCCTAGTTTGCCTTTGCTGGCATAGGTGGGAGTAGGGTCACAGATCTTTTCTGTTGTATTTGGCTGGAGCAGAGTGGTTATTATTTCAATGTTTTCTACTTTGCTAGGCTGCCCCTTTCCTGGTCACTTAGCTAGAGAGCAGGCTCTTCCTGAGATTTTTTTGTTTGCACCTTCCAGGTTTCCAGGGTGCTGCGTTATTCAGCTCTGTAATATATGAGCAAAAATGTAAAAACCCAGAGAACTCACCAGCATGTCATTCCTTGGATATGAGTTCCATTGCTGGTTTTCTTTCTTCTCTTTTTGAAATAATAGATACTACCAAATCTAGGGGCACCTGGGTGGCTCAGTTGGTTAAGCATTCTACTTTGGCTCAAGGCATGATCTCAAGTTCAAGACTTTAAGCCCCGTGTCAGACTCTATGCTGTCAGCACAGAACCTTCCTGGGATCCTCTGCCCCACCCCCCCGGCCTTCCCCTGCTTGTGCATGTGCATCCGTACTTTCTTTCTTAAAAATAAACATTAAAAAAATTACCAAATCTGAACAACAAAGAGGATATAGATTTTAAAAAAAGAATAGAGCCTCAGGGACTTGTGGTACAAAAATAATAGATCCAGAATTCATGTCATTGAAGTCTTGTAGGAGAAGGGAAAGAAGGCAGGGTTGAAAAAGGACTCAAAGAAATAATGGCTAAAAACTTTCCAAATATAACAAAAGACATAAACCTATAAATTCAAGAGGCTGAATGAATTCCAAACGGGATACCCAAACAAACCCACACCAAGACATGCCATGGTCAAATTCCTGAAAACTAAAGGCAAAGAAAAAAATCAGCCAGACAGAAACAGTACCTTACTCATAGGGGGAAAATGATTTAATAGCTGATTTCTTATCAGAAACCATAGGATCCAGAAGGATGTCAGACAAATGGCTACCTGTAAGCTCCAAGTTCTTGTTCCCCACAGAAACATTAAAAAACAACAACAACAACAACAAAAAACCCCAGAAATTCACATGCAAGAAAATGAATATGGATACTTACCTTATACCATATATAAAAACTAACACAAAATACATCAAAGATATAAGTGTAAGAGCTGAAACTATAAAACTCCTAGAAGAAAACACTGGAGACAATCACCACGACATTGAATTTGGCAGTGATTTTTTAAGCCTGACAACAAAAGCACAGGCAATTAAAGAAAAAAATAGATAAATTAAGAACTTTTGTGCACTAAAGGACATTATAAAAATAGTGAGAAGACAACCTATAGAATGGGAAAAATGTTTACAAATCACGTATCTGATCAGGAATTAATATCCAAGGGCGCCTAGCTGGCTTGGTTGGTAGAACTCTTGATCTTGAAGTTGTGAGTCCAAGCCCCATGTTGGTTGTGGAGATTAAAAAATAAAATCTTAAAATATAAAATCTTAAAAATAAAATCTTAAAAAATAAAAATGAAATATCCAGAATATAAAAAGAAATCTTACAAGTTAAAAACAAACAAACAAAAATAACCCATCTAAAAAAGTGAACAAATTCTCACCATCATTAATTATTAAGGAAATGTACATGAAAACCACAATTAGATACCACTTTACACTCATTAGGTGAGCTACTACGAAAAAAAAAAAAGAATTGGTGAAGATGTGGAGAAATTAAAACTCTTATGCATTGTTGATGCAAATATGAAATGGTACAGCCACTGTGGAAAATGGTTTGGCATTTCCTCAAAATATTAAAAATAGAATTGTCATATGATTTAGCAATTCTACTTCTAGGTATATACCCAAACGAATTTAAAGCAGAGACTCAATCGGATATTTGTATACCAATGTTCATAGAAAAATTAGTCACAATAGTTAAAAGGTAGAAACAACCCAAATGTTCATCAACAGATGAATATATAAACAAAATATGGCATATACATACAATGGAATGTTATTCAACCTTAAAAATGATTGGAGTTCTGGGGTGCTTGGGTGGCTCAGTTGGTTAGTGTCTGACTCTTGATTTCGGCTCAGGTCTTGATCCCCAGGTTGTGGGATTGATCCTGAGGTTGTAGGATTGAGCCCCGCACGGGCCTCAGCACGGAGCCTGCTTGAGATTTTGCCTCTCTCCCTCTGCCCCTCTCTCCTGCTCTCTCTCTCTCTCTTTCTAAAAAAATGAAAATTAAAAAAAATATTTTAGGGGCGCCTGGGTGGCTCAGTCGGTTAAGCATACAACTTCGGCTCAGGTCACGATCATGCTGTTTGCTGTTCATGAGTTTGAGCCCCGTGTTGGGCGCTGTGCTGATAGCTCTGAGTCTGGAGCCAACTTAGGATTCTGTCTCCTTCTCTCTCTGACCCTCTGCTATTTACGCTCTGTCTCTCCCTCTCTCTTAAATATAAATAAACATTTAAAAGTTTAAAAAAATTAAAAGAATATTTTGAAAAATGGACTAGAGTTCTGACACATGCTGTAACTTGGATGAACCTTGAAAACACTATGCTAAGTGAAATAAGCCAGACACAAAAGGACTGCTATTATGATTCCACCTATTTGAGGTACCTAAAATAGGCAAATTTATAGACAGGAAGTAGAATAGTGGTTACTAGGTGTTGGGGGAGGGTAGTATGAGGGGTCGATTTTTTATTTTATTTTTTTTTATTTTATTTTATTTTTTTTATTTATATATGAAATTTATTGTCAAATTGGTTTCCATACAACACCCAGTGCTCATCCCAAAAGGTGCCCTCCTCAATACCCATCATCCACCCTCTCCTCCCTCCCACCCCCCATCAACCCTCAGTTTGCTCTCAGTTCTCAACAGTCTCTTATGCTTTGGCTCTCTCCCACTCTACCCTCTTTTTTTTTTTTCCTTCCCCTCCCCCATGGGTTCCTGTTAAGTTTCTCAGGATCCACATAAGAGTGAAACCATATGGTATCTGTCTTTCTCTGTATGGCTTATTTCACTTAGCATCACACTCTCCAGTTCCATCCACGTTGCTACAAAAAGCCATATTTCATTTTTTCTCATTGCCACGTAGTATTCCATAGTGTATATAAACCACAATTTCTTTATCCATTCATCAGTTGATGGACATTTAGGCTCTTTCCATAATTTGGCTATTGTCGAGAGTGCTGCTATGAACATTGGGGTACAAGTGCCCCTATGCATCAGTACTCCTGTGTCCCTTGGATAAATTCCTAGCAGTGCTATTGCTGGGTCATAGGGTAGGTCTATTTTTAATTTTCTGAGGAACCTCCACACTGCTTTCCAGAGCGGCTGCACCAATTTGCATTCCCACCAACAGTGCAAGAGGGTTCCCGTTTCTCCACATCCTCTCCAGCATCTATAGTCTCCTGATTTGTTCATTTTGGCCACTCTGACTGGCGTGAGGTGATATCTGAGTGTGGTTTTGATTTGTATTTCCCTGATAAGGAGCGACGCTGAACATCTTTTCATGTGCCTGTTGGCCATCCGGATGTCTTCTTTAGAGAAGTGTCTATTCATGTTTTCTGCCCATTTCTTCACTGGGTTATTTGCTTTTCGGGTGTGGAGTTTGGTGAGCTCTTTATAGATTTTGGATACTAGCCCTTTGTCCCATATGTCATTTGCAAATATCTTTTCCCATTCCGTTGGTTGCCTTTTAGTTTTGTTGGATGTTTCCTTTGCTGTGCAGAAGCTTTTTATCTTCATAAGGTCCCAGTAATTCACTTTTGCTTTTAATTCCCTTGCCTTTGGGGATGTGTCGAGTAAGAGATTGCTACGGCTGAGGTCAGAGAGGTCTTTTCCTGCTTTCTCCTCTAAGGTTTTGA